AAGGCTGATAAACAGGCAGAGGTGCTAACGGAGTGCTGCCCTCCCTATTGAGGCAGGAACGAAACTGGATTCAGGGGCATATCCCACCAAGAGGGCAGGAAATGAAAGTTTGGTTCTTGCCTCCCTAAGGATAAGGTGGGAAACACCCAGCAAGATGTCCTCCTTCCTCTCAGAGGGAGAATTCCTCCTCCAAGGTGAGACAGGAGTGTTATCTAGTGTTCCAATATTCCTATTCGAAGCAGACAAGAGCCATGAACAGGAACATTCCCTCTAGGGGGCTGGGGGATACACTATAATGTTTTGTTTCACGTTCTGAAACTGTGAACTATTTCCATTTGCATTTTATTATTAATGTTTTATAGGAACGGTTTGACACAGGGACAATTGTTGCGTTTTATATACCGTTCCTATGCGGAGGCATAACAGCCCATGATTTATTTAAATGCCTTAATTAAACAACTTAAGGTTGACATAAGTTCATTTTCCAAACTACATCCTTGTTGTAAATGAGATGAACTCTAAAGCAGATGAAACTGCTTCAAATTCATTTCAGCTGAAGGCCTATCTTATATTGAACATTGTACTGATAGAACTGAAAGTATAAAATGAATTGTATATATGTTTTCATTATATGAGAGATTTTACTAATAACAAATGGGGATTACAACCAACAAACACTAAACACTGTTACATGTGGGTGAAAATCATTCTGAAATTTTAGAAAAATCAATCCAATATATGCTACAACTTCTGCATGGACAGTTCTATGGAATATAATATTAAGAACATAAGAGATGCCAATGTTGGATCAGACCAAAGGCCCATCCAGTCCAACACTCTGTATCACACAGTGGCCAGAAATACCAGTGCCATCAGGAGGTCCACCAGTGGGGCCAGGACATTAGAAGCCATCCCACTGTTGACCCCCCCCCAAGCACCAAGATGACCCCCCCAAGCACCAAGATGGTGTTGGAAGCTATGCAGTCACTGCACTATGCAAGTTGTGTTTACACAAGGGCTTGCATACACAAACATATATGTCTTCTTCCTGCTTCTGTACAAAAATAAATTATTTAAAAGCTACATAAAAATATAAAGGAATTGTCTTAACACCTTGTTCACTGGCATATTTCAGAACTTTTTTGTTTTTCTAAAAATGGAATAGATAGACAAATATATAAGCAGAGATATTTTTCCTGATAAATTATTACAGCAGCAAGACAACACAGCATTCTAATGATTCCTAGTGGAATATTTATTCAGCTATTACATTGTATTCTACACTTTTCTCATTAAAAAGAAGAATGGATTGCACCTATTGAAGCAGTACTTCTGAACAATTTGTATGCAAGAGTGACAGTAGAGATCTTTTTTGCTTTTTTGCTTTTCCAAGGTGCTTCAGCTACAAAAGATGTTGATGCTTTCATGGAATGAACCAACATATGGTGAGTGAAAGACTGGAAGGTACTATGGAACAGTAGAAGAGAGCTGGGAAGCCCATCCAAAACATCACTAATATAATAACAAGTGACATAAATATAACTGACATATAAATTTTAGTGATAAGCAGAGATCATTTCAGGGGGGGATCGGGGGGATCGCAGGGGATCGCAGTTCCCCCGGGTGAGGTACGGGGGGCGGGGCACATGACGAAGCCCCGCCCCCTGCTTCCGGCCGCCCCACTTCCGGCCCTCATTCAGCCAGGAGGAGGCAGGAGAAGAGGGAGGTTAAGTTGCTTCCTCCCTGCCTCTCCCCACCCCTGCCTGCCTGGGGCCAGGGAGGGCCTTCGCGGGGCTTCCTTGCACTCCCGCCGGCCTTGCAGGTCCACCGCCGGGCCCCTCATGGGGCTCAGCAGTGGAGCTGCAAGGCTGGCGGCGGCGGCCGGGACCGTTCGGGGCGGGGTGTGTGGCCTTATGACACACTTCCGGTGATGTCAGGGGGGGTGGCCTTATGACACACTTCTGGTGATGTCAGGGGGTGTGGCATATGCTAATGAGTTATGCTAATGAGTTCCCCTAGCTCTTTTTCTACGAAACGACCCCTGGTGATAAGGTATGGAAAACAAATATAAAATATACAAAAGCTATACCATATAAAGAAAACATATATAAAATGTTTTATAGGTGGTATATGACTCCAGGAAAATTAGCAAAATGGTATCCAAATATGTCAAATGAATGTTGGAAATGTAAGCAAAATGTTGGTTCTTTTTTCACATGTGGTGTATTGTAAGATAGCAAAAAAGTATTGGATATGGATATATGAAATATTGCAAAAAATGCTAGAAACAACTATACTATTTGTACAGAATTGTTTTTATTCAATATTATTCCAGAGAATTTTAAGAAACCAGATGTTTACATGATTATACATGCTATAACCACTGCTAGGATTTTGTATGCAAAGTACTGGAGAAGAGAAGATGTTGCATCAAGAAATAATTTATAAACTATTGGAAACAATGGAAATGGACAAATTAACTTTACAATTGAAAGATAAAAATGAAATCTTTGAGAAGAACTGGTCAAGATTTTATAAATGGATTGAGGAATATCTCAGAAGATGTTCAACATAATTATTAAGATATAAGCTCTGCACTTTAAATGGTTAAACTGGTTAGGTGTATAAAAGAATTATTCTATCTAGGTAAAATTTAAGCAGTTATAATTACATGTTCCTTGTTTGTTGTATGTCAATTTCTCTTTTCTGTAGTTATTGTATTTTTCTTTTTTGTATAGAAAATGAATAAAATCCTTTTAAAAAAGGAAATGAAATATCTATGAGGTTCTAGAGTACGTTTTATGAATCTCTTCAAGATACAATTAGGGAGCAATCAAAAGCAGCTATACTCAGAAGTAAATCACACTGAATTCAACAGATTTACTCCCAGGAAAATGTCATAGGATTGCAGCCAAAAACTAATGGTTTTCATTTCTTCAGTGAAGAAACACTTCTGTTGTTTTGTGTGTCTCAGGCAAAACACACACAGATTAAAACCAGAACTCTGAATTTCTTCTGAACAGTTTCTACAACAAAAACCCTCTGTATTTTGAACAGGTCACTTAGCAGGGATATTGTCAGACAGCCACAAAACTGTCAGTGAAATTTAATAAGATGATGATTTTTAAATATTGCAGAATATATGTTGGTTAAAAACATCTGTTATTTTCTTTACAGCCATGTGTCAAGTATCTCACAAACTGATTCAAACACAGCAAACATGTCCTATGCTGTAAAGACCGTATGGAAATCAAATCAAGTGCTTTGATCTTTTGTTTGGAGCATTCATGAGTTGCCATGGTATCAAAGGGACTGGTTTTTACACAAAGACTATGGGAGACAGAACAAGGATTTTCATTGCTCAGGGAGGGCAAATATGCAAAACTCAAGTTTTCAGTCATACAATACTGAGATTCAATATATATTCAATGCATATTTAGTTCATATAGTACATATTCTAAAGGAACGAACAATCCTTTTACATGTGAACAGCTGAACTGCTTTCCAAGCAAGGATCACAATTCAAAAATAACTGTGCAGTTAAATTTACTGATTAGAACTGGCTCATGTGTGCCTAACTCTGTTCTACTGTGGTGAAACAGCTTTCCAATATTCCATGATAATTCATTTAAGAATTTTTGCCTGGTTATTGAAGTTTATAGAACTCAATGTTTTCAAGAGAGCAGGCTATCAGGGCGAAACCTCAAAGTAAGCACTGCAATGAAATCCCAAGGCATATTTGAATAATATACCAAACAGTCACTAAACCACTAAGCTCACATGTAGGGATACACAGTACCATCACTGAATGGAACTGGAGACCAAGCACCCTTACCAAAGAGCATCAAAGCCTTTTTGAAACTAGTATACAAAAACTGGATTGCTACTGTAGCTTTTACTGCCTTGACTTCATGGATATCTCTGTCTTATATTTTGCTACTTGATTGCTAATATAAGCGTTGCCACAACATGATGGTAATGTTTGTTTCAGTCTTTATGTTTCCTTTACATTTATGGAATCTTCCAAAGACCAACACATTTATTGCAGCCTAAACTCTTGTAGGTTAGAGCCACTTCTCGAATGCGCAACACATTTAACAAAGTAGGTGGTAAACCATGAAAGCTTATGCCGTAAAAAATGGGTAACCTTTAAGGTGCCACAGAGTTCATTCTTGATTTTGCCACACCACATTAACACAGCTATCCTTCTGGAATTTATACTTACAATCCTATGTGGTATGTCCAAGAGTATAGTGATTTACAGTGCAATTGTAAGACCATTTTCCTGGGAGTAATCCAACCAACTAGGCCTGAGTTGAATTCTGCAACACTGTCAAGAGCAAATTGTAAACTTTCCCCTCACAAACCATGATATGAACACTTTCCTAGAATTAAATTATCTGAAACATTAACATTTGCTCCCCTATTATACCCTTTAAAATGATGTACATATATTTATGCTGGTAAGGTTCCTATGGTGCAAAACCACTATAAGTAATATGCAGATTACAACCATAATCTTCTAGTGCTAGCCTCAAAATGTCCTTCTCTAAACTTAAGTAGCTGGTTTCTAAAGGAATGACCGTATAAGACCAAAATGGTCTGAAAGACATACATATGCATTTAACTGTATCATAAATTAGTGTTATGCTGTTATATGTACATTGCCAAGGGCAAAATCTGATATAAATTTTATAAGGCTGAAAATATAATGATGAACAAAACACATATTTCTGACTGAAGCAGAGCAAAAGCAGCTGTTTTTATAACCACATGAAAACATTCTCCATTAATAAGCCTACAATCAGTACAGATATTGAAAGGAGTGGCAGAACAGGAAAGCCACAGGGCATTCAGAAGAAAACCTTCAACAAAATGTAATTAAAACCAGCAAGAAATGATTCCATGAAAAGAATAAAAGCTGTTTGTTAAATAACAATTTAAAAAAAAAACAAAAAAACACTGGCTACTTGTCTGGAATAGATGAAATTTTGTTGTACCTTTCTCAGTTTCATGTTCCTCTGACAGCAGATGATAACAGCAGCCCACACTGCAAACTGCCTTAATCTCAGGTTTAGCAGTAAATATCCGGAGAGTGTTTGGTGCAAGATCACCACAGGTGTGCAGACCCACCATTACGCAGTCCTAAGATCAGGAAGACATCCCCCCACAACAGAAATTAGAACTAAGTAAGGCACATGATATACCAAACACTAATAATATGTCATCATCGTTTGAATTTTGCCTTCACCTTACTTCTACCCATAAATTGGTAAGAATTAAAGTCACTTTGGATTAAGTAGAAGGGGTGAAGAAATATGTACAGTGGTGATGGGGGAAGGGAATGTTCCAGCTTCATTTCTTAAAGTGATCTTCCAGCAAAACAAGTTGCTGGCTAGGGCTGTAGAACAAAGCAACCCATACCAGTAAATGCCATTTAATCAGTATTTAATACATTCTTGGGGGGGGGGGGGGAAGTTACAAGGTTTTATTTATTTATTCAGGTTTGGGGTACAACATTCACAGCTCCTGATTCTGACCTTTCTTTTGGATCATAATGAAACTTGAGCAAATTCAACATTTGCACAGGGGAAAACATTTGGGGGGAGGAGCCTGGAAGAAATAGAAAGGAAAATGGAGAGGAGCCTGAAAAGAGAGAGGAAGCAGGGCCCATTGTGGAGTGATAAAATTTCCCTGTTGTGAATGTTTTGCATTCCCCAGCTTGTTTCAGCCTACTTTTCAAGGTCCCAAAACTCCTTATGGGACTCAAAATGCAACATGTGACGCCTTATATCCACTTGAAAATGTTTCTTGGGGAAGATATTCTCAGTTGATCTCAATTGAGGTATGGGCTGCAATCACACAAACCAAATGATCCACTTTCAATGCACTTTCCAACTGGATATTGTCACATCACAGAAGAAAATCTAGTTGGAAAGTGCATTGAAAGTGGATTATTTAGTGTGTAATTGCAGCCGTGATGGAAGGGTGGCCTGCTTACTGCCTTGCCTCTGGTGGTCTCAATGATGGCAGCTGGTAGGTGAAAAAAATATTCTCAGCTGTTTCAATCCAGGCACAAATAATGGATGCCTGGCTGCTTTCTGCTCTTCCTGATGGCATCATTAGGAGCAACTGGAGGGAAAGGAGTTCTCAGCTAAAACTGGATGCAAGCATAAGGGAGTGCCTGGAATGCCCAGCTGCTTCCTCCCCTCCTGCTAATGGCCACATGGAGGAACTCATCGTCTAACCTTGCTTCCAGAATAGGAGGGCGGGGTAGAAATTTAAATAAATAAATAAATAAATAAAATAAAAATATCTTTTACTATTAAAATGTGTGTATTGCAATGTAATCCTACATGCATGGCTAAAATTAAATAACAGAGACATTTTGGAAACAACAGAAATTTAAACAAAGGGCAATTTTACTCAAAATAGATTTCTGAAACTTGAAAGAATCCTACTTAACATATAGGCTGAAGTATTCACTACCTTTGGTTTTTTTGCTTTTGACTGTCGGACTCGACTGTGCGACTGAACAACAAATTCACTACCTTTTCAGAAATAGAGAACAGTAAGTCGTCAACTGGATAGCAGAGAAATGCTTTATGAAACATAACACCACTTATCTAAACCTGTATTTATGAGATGACATTTAGCATGCTATTTCTAATGGTGTCATTTTAAAACATACCCCATGTTTTCATCTACACCATGCTGTTTAAGAAAAGCAAATGTTACAGAGATTTGATTCATGAATTCAAAACTCACACACTGGCTTTTATCTTAACAAAGCTTGAAGCATTCCTCTAGCTTAAGGAGCATTCCTCTAGTGGAAGTGAATCTTTTGCTGCAGGAAGAGTCATGTCCATCAGAGGAAGGATCCTTAGGCTGGAAGGCTTCAAACTTGGCTGAGAGAAACAGTAGGATAAAGTAAAGATTTCAAGCATCATGTTTTAGCAAGTATGAACTAGGATAACAAATGCAATAACCTCTAGATCTGCAACAATATCACTTAGCTCTGTTTCCGCGGTGATATAGGATGTTAACGGAGAATATATGTTAGCTTCCTTTAACCTGCTCGCTTTGGCTTTAAGAGATGCCACCTTCCTTCGTTCTTTCTCCTCCTCACAGAGCTCCTTCCATTTACTTTTGGGTGAACTGTCCGTTTCCACAGCATCAGCAGGCAAAATATTTAGAAACACATTTTCTGAAATGTTCTCATCGAGCTGCATCTGAGCCCCAGAGGAAAGTACATATTGTTTGCTAGTAACAGACGTATTGGAGTCTGTGAAAACATCAGCTGTTTCAAAGAGAATAGAATCTGGAGTAGCCACCTGGGCCTGACTTTGAAGACTGTTATTAGTACTTAAGAGCTGTTCACTGATATTTGCTTTACATTTCTCTTTATCTTGCTCCGGTCTTTCTTTTTCCTTTTCCAACACTTGGCCTCTGACATTTGCTCTTCCCTGACTTTGATAGGCTCTCCAGTGTTTCTTCAATTTCCTGTTCCTTTCATTTGCTCCGTGGGTGTTTGTATTTGAAGAATCAATTCCATAAACCTTCAGATTACATTGCATTGACAAGAAGGAGCTCAGGTAGCCTTTTCCAGATCCCAGGTCAATCACCTAGAGTGTGAATAGCAACAAGAATAAAAAGTAGCAAATCATAATAAAAGTATGGGTCATATAATGTACTTAATATATTGATGCTGCCCTTCCTATTTTTCATACAAGCAATAAATAAGGTTAAAACTATCTCCAGAATTGCAATAATTTTAAATGCATTAGTTGAAAGGTAGCTATCTTGAGAATGGCAAAGTGACATCAAGACAGTGTTCAACATGGTCAGCCATAAACTACTGAGCCACTGCCTTGCTGACACTGGAGTCCAGGGGCCTGCCTTGCAATGGCTTGCCTCCTTTCTCCAAGGTCGGGGACAAAGGGTGGCACTGGGGGAACAGCTATCCCAAAAGCACCCACTAGACTGTGGAGTGCCCCAAGGGGAGGTGCTATCCCCAATGCTATTTAGTATCTATATGCGCACCCTTGCCCATATTGCCCGGATGGCTTAGACTGAGCTGACTGAAATTGAATCCGATGAAGATGGAGGTCCTGTGCCTGAGCCGGGGTGGGCCAAGGGTAGGGTTCCAACTCCCAACCTTCGATGGGGCTCCGCTGATGCCAGCGCCAGAGGTTAGGAGTTTGGGAGTGCTCTTGGATGCTTCCTTAACAATGGAGGCCCAGGTAGCAGCCACAGCCAAGTCAGCCTTTTACCATCTTCAGCTGATCAAGCAGTGGGTTCCCTTCCTCAAATGCAACGACCTGGCAACAGTGATCCACGTGATGGTCACCTCGAAAATGGACTACTGTAATGCTCTCAACATGGAGTTGCCCTTGTCTCAAATCCGGAAGCTACAGCTAGTGCAAAATGCTGTGGCCAGGCTCTTGATGGGCCTCCCAAGCGAGAGAACATCCAGCCTGTGCTGAAAGCATTGCACTGGCTGCTGATAGCATACCAAATTTACTTCAAGGTGCTGGTTCTTACCTTTAAAGCCATTTATGGTCAGAGGCCTACATACTTGAGGGACCGCCTTTCCCCACATGTTCCCCAGAAAGCACTGCAATCAGGGTCCCAAAATCGACTGGCCCTCCTGGGTCTCAAGGACACCAGACTGGCCATAACCAGGGCCAGGGCCTTCTCAGTGGTGGCTACGTTCTGGTGAAAAGAGCTCCCAGAAGAGATCAGGGCCCTGCGGGACCTTATGCAGTTCCGCAGGGCTTGCAAGACAGAGCTCTTCCACCAGGCCTTCAACTAAAGAACTGCCCCCAATAGTAGAAAGGCAGAGAACCCGGTCCCCGTGAGCCACCAGCAACAGCCTGCGCCAGCCGCATAAAGGAATAGATCTATGAGCTAATTATTAGGATAGATCATTACATTGTGGCTGCCATCGCTAAACAATATTATTAATGTTTACTAGCACTTTATAATGTTGGATTGTTTTTAGGTTTTAGGATTGTTTATAACTGTTATTTACGTGTTTTTACTCCTTTATGGAAGCCACCCTGAGCTGGCTTTGGCTGGGAGGGTGCGGTATAAATCTCATAGATAAATAAATAAACAAGGCCATATTGCACCATATTGCCAGGCCCAACAACGTACTGGTAGGGAGGTGTAAGGGAACTTTCCGGGAGCGGGGAGGAATACCGTGATGTGCTTATGTCACCAGGAAGTGACATAGGCACATCAGTGACTTTGGGCAGTGACGCTCTGGTTTTTGGGCAAAACTCTGTGGTAGAATTAGCTACGAATCATAGAGTTTTGCCCCCAAACCAGAGCATAGCCACCCAACATCCCCAATGTGGCTATGTCACTTCCAGGTTACGCATGCACGTCGTGGTTATTTCCAGCTTCTTGGAGATAAGAGAGGGTAAGTGGGGGGGGGGGAGAAGCACCCAAAAGTGAGAGACCCCCACCCGGACCAGGGCATTTGGCAACCCTACACCATATTATTTATTATGTTTCAAAGCACATAAGATGCCACCAGGAATTCCAAATGATATAAATGTAACTGGAAGCAACGTAATAATCTGTAATTTCCTTTACAAAACAGTAACATACTGGGATGACTATAAAGATAGAATCATAAAACAGACAAGCAGTCCATCCTGACCAGTGTCTCATGACAATTCACAAACTTGAATATATTAGCTTAGGCTACTACTTCATTTGGTAGTACTGGAGAGGCTGTTCAGGAAACATTCCACGCCTTGGATTCAGTAAGATCAGAAGCGGGGCCAAGGCTCATATGTTCCCTCTCCCTACCCCAGTCACTGCAGGGAGAACTGGAAGAAAAGAGAACCTCATGGTCAAAAACACAGCATAATAGTAATTGCTGTTCAGAATGCATATAGCACATTCCCACTGTTCCTAGAACTGCATAGATATAATCTCAGTAACTCTTATGACCACCTGTAAAGTATGTCAGTTCTGCAGGTAGGGAGCCCACGCTGAGAAAAAGGCGGCTTGCCCTAGGCTACAAAGTGAGCTGATAGCCAAGGTGAGATCTGAATCGCACCCTTCCCTGAAAACAACTGACAGTTTTCTTATGCTACAGCATTTCTCCAGACCTGCCAGTTAATTCACTCACTGAGAAGGTACAGAAGGAAACAAATGAGCCTGAAGCCAGTCCTGATCACTCCCTGGGTCACATCCTAAGAGCAAAGTATTGCCTGAACTGTCTCAGAGTACCTAATTACTTGCTTTTCTCTTACTTGGACATGCAACACCCATTTCCAAACTTTCAAGGCCTTGATGGTTAAAATTACATGCTTTACTTAGGAAATCCCTTCTCCACCAACAAGTGAATACTTCTGCCCCAATACTTCCCTTTTATTAATGAAAAGTGACTATTAGTATAGTGACTATTAACAATCTGTCCATGTGATGGGCAAAGTTCTAGCTTCTTGTTGTTATTAATAAATATGGCCAATGAAAACCACCATAATCCTACTAAATAATCAAGAGCATGTCAAACAGTCCACAAATGCAGCCGTTTTCTCAGAACTTTTAAAACTTCATACACGCATATATCCTCTAAGAGCAGCTTGGGCTTGATCTAACGTTCTTTGACTGTTCAGAAAGCCATATAAAACATTCTCCATTTATGTGTTATTAAAAAAAGTTCCATTATTTTATCAAAATATCCTTGAACCTAAATAAGCCCTAACTTCAGTATGAAGAACAACACTAGTCTGAGAGGCCTTAAAGATGAGAAACTATTTTGGTTCAAATGATAAAAACAAAAATTAATTACCTATAACCCACTTTTCTCACCTATACTCGATTTCAAAATACACATTTTTGTCGACCACACTGGCATCAAAGGGTTTTGACTGGATCTTTATAACGAAAGCAATACATTTTGCTGTTTGTAATGTGACCAGTGTTCCCTCTAAGCTGAGTTAGTGTGAGCTAGCTCACAGTTTTTTAGCCTCCTGCTCACAGATTTTTGTCTTAGCTCAGGAAGGATGGCTCCAGAGCCAACTAATTGATGCAGGAGCCAAATCACCTGCTCACAACTTTAATGCCCATAGCTCACAAAGTAGAATTTTTGCTCACGAGACTCCACAGCTTAGAGGGAACATTGAATGTGACCCATTTATTTTGGTCTACAAGTAATATTACAAGTTTGGACCAATCCGATCATCCTTGATATCTTGTTAAAATGTTCCTGAATCTTGGGCACCAAAAAACCACGTGCCAGGTCCTCAACAGATCTCTGGTCACAAGAGCAGACTCTCTCATTATATGAGATATTGTTCTAACACTCTCTTAATATTGCTAGTGGTAATAATAAAAATAAAGAAAACATTGCTAGTGGTAAGATATCCAATCATGCCTTAGTAAAGGCCTTCCTATACTCAAATTTTAATAGATCAATAAAATAAGCCGGAAGATTTAATGGAGGGGGGGAAAGCTGCCTATAAAGGGAGGCTACTCTCAACCCTAGAGTCGGATTCGACTGGCTTTCGAGCAAGGGAACCTTTACCTTTACCTTTACTCTCAAGGTGCCTAATGATACATCATCAACTTGAGCACTTATAACTAACAGCCTTTGTTTTATTAACAGTTTGGCTGCAAAAAACCCTAGCCTTCCTAGATATTTTTCTGAGAAACAGAGTAGGAAAACATACACATCTGATACGTGAAAAGAGAGCACAGACAAACTTAATTAATATTCCCCATCCCTTTCAGCTACAGGATACCCCTAACCAAATATCATTGTCCCAAACAAAGAAAAAAGGAAAAGTGAGGAAGCAAGCAGTAACTTTGAAGAAGTGAGCAGTGACTCACGAAACCCTGCCACAAATTTTGTTAATCTTTAAGGTGCTACTGGACTCTTGCTCTTTTCTATTGCTACAGACAGACTAACCTGACTACCCATCTTGATCTAAAGCTAATTTCTGAAATTGTTCTGCAAGTACTAATGAAAATGTGCCATCATATATTAATGCCATTTATAAAATTTCTGTTCTTTCAGCCTCATCACCATTGCGTTAATATGCTGCTCATAGAGTCCTAAGCATTAAACTAAGAATAGGCTCCCAAGACAAATTCCCTGTGTTTTCCTCTACTGACATCTAGTGGCTATCAACTTGCCAGTGCTACCTTGGCAAACCATTTCTATTGACTTTTTTGATCACAGGAAAAAACATCCACATCTACACCATACATATGTAATGAATATTTGTGTTCCCTTTTGAAAAGAACAGCGAAAGTTATGTTAAGCACACTGAAATAAAACATACTGGAAAAACCTAATCCCTGCTGACATACCACTGACTCAACTTGGAAAAGCAAAGCCAAGTATAAACTATTAAAATGAAATTTCCAAGACATAATGAAAGCTTTATTGGGTTAAGCACTATGGCCAAACACTGTTTCTGTAAGCAACAAGACAAAAAACATGAACACAACCACGCTAAGCTCTTTAATGGCATTAAATCTTCAGTCCTAATGCAACCCCCCCCCCCCCCGCAAAAACAACAACAACAACCCTGCCTGTTCAACTGATATCAAAGAATGTTTTCAAAAAATATTTTTTGGGGAAAAGGAATGTTTTGTTGTAATAATTTTCAATGAAACATGGTTTATTATTATAAACTTTGAGAATCTCTGTAGATTAGTCAGTAAGGTATACATTTTAGCAATAATATACAAGGACTGTGTCTTCAGTCTTTTGTCCCACATTCTAATTCAAGTAGCCAGGTAAGCATCAACCTTTTCAAATTAAGGTTTATCTATACCGCTTGGTTTTAAAATTAAGCAGACCCTAGATACTAGTTCCAGGTTCCAAAAGGCTTAATAAAATACGAATGAATGTGTGCAAATATGGGTTTATACATGCTTTGGTCTCTGAAATATAAAGAAAAAAAGAACAGAAAAAAAACCTGCAGGAGTGCATCCCCACTGTTTCATCCCCTGCAGAGAAGGAAAAATTATCTGATGTTTCCTAAATAGGAATTAAGTTTTCCTGGTACAGGTCAACATCACAATGGAAAAACACTGAACTACTTGCGACTGATCACTGAGGCAAGAAGGCTCAGCAGAGGACTTATACAGGTCGCTTCAAGTCATATGTCCAAAGACATGTATATGTTGCCCACAGAAAAGTCTACCATCATTTTGCAGTGGTTTCTGTGCTATTCCTGGTAATGGAAGAACATCTGCCCACATTGGTAATGTGGAATGCATGCTTACATATCGCGCTATTGATACCCATCCCATTAGGGAAGTTGCATCTAAGTCTGTGATCCATCTTAACCACATGACAGGAAGGTACATAATGCTACTGGGAGTGGAACAGGATAAATAATGGGATTCTGACAGCCAAATCATTGCGAGTTAACATAAAAAGTGAGCTTACAGATGGCTGCCACAGCTGAAGACAACAGCATGATTTTGGCTTCTGGCAGGAGTCTGCAAAAGCTGAACTGTACAGTACTTTCTAATTCCACAATAGCTCAAAATGTAGTTCAATTAAACCATAGCTTGTTGCACACATCTACCTGACATATATAACAAAATACAGTTTGTTCAGTGAACGCCGGCTAGTCTCCAGCTTGCATCCTTTCCTGACTCCAGGCAGAAACCCCAGGTGCTATTTTGTGTTGCCTGGACAATGACACAGTCTTACTGGGCATGACGCCCATTCATTATGGTCAGCTGCAAAGACAGGCAGGGCCACTCAAGCATCCCTCCTTCACACAAAACTAATCTTTTAT